TCACTTTTTATCCTTCTGTAATTTATATTTTTTTATATTTAAAGCCTTAAATACTCAGCAAAAGAAAAGGTATTCTTAGAAATAGTTTTGTTGTAATCCTGCAAATATATTTTAGACTGCGATAACAATGCCAGTTAACAAGTTACAGTGTTGATTGCACGTATTTCCTTCTATTTTTTGAAAACAAATCAGTAAACTTTACAACAGCTAACCTCGTACAGAATCTATTAATGGTGAATATAAATTGAATTAATTTGATTTATTCAGCTATAATAAAAAAAAAATTTAAATCGTGGCAAACTTCAATATACGTGAAGGAAAACTACTACAGATACTGTAAGTTATTAAAGATTTATTCATAGGTATCGTCTAACCAAAGCTGCTTGTAACTTCTGCTTTTCTGCAAATCTCAAATTCTCTGAATATGATATTAAAGTAAAAATTTGAAGTGTCAATAACTGCTAATAAATTACCAACTTTAAACATCAATTTTTTTTTGCTAACAATCTGTTTTAAATGTTTACAAAATTTTTTTACATTATTCATATTTCATAGAGAGAAAAAAAAAAAAGAATTTTTCTTCCTGTCGCACACCTCTATATTAAGACAGTTTTAGTGTTTGTCAAAAACAGCTATTTCAAAGATTACAAGTGCATTTTAAACAAAAAAAAAAAAAGAAAAGCTTATTTGCTTAAAACATCTGTTCACTAATTTTCAAGCAATAAAATTCTGCTGAAGACAGCAAACGGGAAAAAAGAGTGTGATTCTACTAAAAAAGAAAGCCACGTGTATGGTAAAAGCAATAAGCTTTCTGATCGCTTACTTCTCATTAGTGGTAGGCCTCGGCAAACAACTCTGTCTCCTCCGTCAGCAGTTTTTTGATTTGCAAATGTCTAAGAAGAATTATACATTCCTTTTACTTCCTTTTAACTAACAATATTTTTAATTTTATTTTTTTATTAATCGGAAACCTTACAAAAGATTTCTGAGTTGGTCTAAAAAATCTGCGGTTTTGACTTGTTGCAGAAATTATACACAGTTCCAGCAATGAAAAAGATGAAATCATTGAAAACAAAAAAGAAGTGAAAGATAAAGCATAACAGAAAAATTAAACTAACAAAGTGATAAAATGAAGTTTTTTATGTTAAGTTATACTTTTTATGGCTCTTCTTTAACGTGTGTACTCCTGGCACAGACAGTCAATGCCCTATGTAAAATTCATTGATTCATCTGAGAGAGTTCTGAGCACTTTAAGCACAGTTGTTATTTTCACTTCCGTTTCATCTTCTTTCTTCACTTTTCACTGTTAATTCAAACAATATTATCTTAGACAAACTTCTTTATTCCAAGAAATAAACTTTTTTTTTTCAAAAACTAATTACACCTGCAGATGTTCTACACTAATCTCAAAGCACTTCAAGCACTTCTTAAGGATCTTAGTAAAAAATAACTATTATTTCAAATGTATTAGCCTTCCGTATAATTCTGTATATTTCCTTCAGAATTGTAATGAAACAACTTCTCGAGAGATGGGATTTGATTGATCACGCGGTGCCACTCAAAGAGCTTACTAATTCTAAGTAATTTCCCTCTATAAAAATACCAAATTCAGTATCAGCGAAGTAATCTTTGAAAAAAATTTAAGCTTGTTTTAGCAATAAACTGATGTTATCATTCAGCACTTAGAAAGATTTGTTAAGTTTTAAGATTGCTCTACACCGAATAAATTTTATTTGGTCATATTTACATGTTCACACTGAACAAGTTGCTAGTCTTAAAAGTTTCACTTAAAACACTTCATTTACCTTTCACGGCACTAAACTATAGGCATTTGATCGGGTCTAAGTTCAACGAATTATGAAAGTGTATATTTGAATAAACGAAGAACTTGGGTGATGGAAAAGTTGCAAATAACCCATTTTCTTGAGAAATTAACCTTAATAATATTTTAGTTAGACTGTCAGTGGGAAACCAGGTTCTTAAGCGTTCTATAAACAAATACCGCAGTATCATCAATCTCGTCCCAGCGGTTCGATACACCGTAATTAGTTGCCGGTTCTATGTTTCAACTGTTAACAAAAAAATGAAATTGACAGCAGCAGTACCATACAATTTTGATAATAGTTGTAGAAATTTTTCAACTGCTTAAAAAATAATATTTGTTATTTCAACAAGACGCTGTAGGTAAGTTGCTTAGCATAAACTATGAAAATATAAATATCGTCTTTCGTTTGTTTAAACCTTTCAACATTTTAATGAAACTTTTATTAATTTTCTGTAAGCCAACTGTAATAAATCTTCCTGATACTTATTAGCGAAATATGTCGTTATTTGAAAAGGTAAAAATCTTCAGTAATTTTTTGTTTTAAGTTTCATAAATTAGCAATTGAAATAATGGCCTGCTGCAGACAGCAATGTACAATCCGAAATTACACTAACAATTAAAGAACTGTTTCAAAGAAAATCTTAAAGCAAATATTTTCCAGTAACATCTGTTGTGACGCTTCTTAAAAACCGTTATTTTAATCGAACCACTGAAGAAAATATAGGTGTAAGATAGATATTTTGCTTAGACTATTCACATTTTTCGGTTCAACTCTTCTAAACAATCTGTTATCCTTTGTGTGGTTTCAGTCTCAACTGGCCATAAAATCAAGTTTATCGATTGCATTCCAGAAATTTGATTCATTTCACTCAGTGCTCTAAACAAGAATAATTGAAAAGATTCATACGTGATTGTATACTTAATATGACAAGCCAAAAAAGCAAATTCCTTGTATCAAATATTCGTTTTACAGAACAGCGCCCTTTCATCCATTAGACTGTTTGCCGAAGTCACTGTAAACTGTCAGGCAAATATTTAACAATACTCATAAAGGCGTACCTTTAAAACACATCTGATAAAGTCCCGTCTATCAGTTTATACACTGTCAAAAATTAAAAGTTTTTTGGTGATACTAGCCAAAACTGCAAATTGCTAAGTGATTGACAACTCAAACGAAGTTCATTGTTATTGCAATGTTCACAGTGCAGTACCTGTAATATAAACAATTTACGAACAAGACACTCTGCTGGCGCCAATACTTTGCAACAACGTTTTCAAACAGCAAACTGGAACACCTTTATTACGGGCTAGAAAAAAAGATCTACAAAAGTGCGAAATAAAAAACACATCCAACTGTTCTTGAAAAGATAAAGTATTAGGTAACATAGAATTCTTACAAACTTAACACGGAAAAAAAGAAAACTCGTCTACTCTAGGCAGTTATTTGAAAGCAGAATTTCTTTAACAGAGAAGAAACGCTATTAGAAACGCTGTAAAGAAATGAAAAATTTTAAAGCTAAATTCTCAACAACAAGTGCTTACTACAACAACCGACTACAAAAAAAATTTTAAATTTTCAAACTTTTATACATACCCATATGAAGACTAAATATGAGGATACTTCCACTTCCTATGTGGTATAGAAAGACATCGATAAAGCTGAACAGTGTAAAGCATACATTAAATAAACAAAGTAACATACAGAAAAAAAAAGTATTCTTGATAGATGCCTCTAAAAAAGGCTTTGCATGCTTGATTTTCACTTTCGGTAAACAAATAGGTCATTTATTCAATTCCTGTAAAAACTATCGCCATCCATTTTCTTACGAACCAACTATTTTGGGATTTTGAACAACGAGATTCTTGAAAGCTTGGTTGCTGGTTTCTTTAGCGTATTTTTCTGCGTAAGAACAAGATGGATACACTTTTAAATAGTTGTCAGCCGCATATTTGAAGGCGCTATCACAAAGCTGTTTTGCAATACCCCTACCGCGATATTCTGGTGGTACCTCAGTATGAAAGATTTCAATTATGTTGTTAGGCAACACTCGATAGTCCAGCACTGCTTGTGCACCATTAGACTTCACAATGAATCTGAAGGCTTTTGGAATATGCTCAACAATCAGTTTTCCAGCGTTACCCATATTCTGAAATGAAAAAATATTTCAGAAAAAAAGAACATTTTACATCAGTAAACTGTTACGAGTGAGTCCAAGCCAAAACAGACTATACATTTTACTGATGCTTATTCAAAAGACCAACATGCTACCATATTGTTGAAAACTTTGTTAAAGAAAGCTAACAAGTATACCAACTAAAACAAAACAAAATAACCAACAGAGCTTCAAGTGCTACAACGAGAAAATAAAACGTACTACAAAATAGAAAAAAAATTTGTTTTAAGGCAGTATAAAGACCAAAAATTACCAAACAATTACGTCAACAGCAAAGCTAAAAAACGTTCAAAAAGCATACCCTTGTCACTGGAATTTTTTGCAAAAAAAACACCACCCTCAGCACGATACAATATTTACCTTACAGTACAGCATGTTCTCTTCAACTTTTTAATTCATAATGACATCTTAAATTCTTACCAAATATTTGATAAGAAGTAAATCAATAAAAAAATGACTTTTTCAAGAGAATACCTTTTTTAAAATTTGACACTTTAATAAAGTCAAGCGGCGGAGAAACAAGTCTTTTTACAATGTAATCCCAGCCACTGTTAATGAAATAACAATAATAATGGTAACAATAATAATAAAATTTTATTCACAGACATAGTAAACATTAAAAAGAAATTATTAAATATGAGTCCCAGGCAGAAATCAAACTATTAGGCAATCTACAAATGTATACCCAAAATTAGCAACCCATCAAATTTCCATATGATAGACTTCAAACCAAATTTACAGAAACTCCACAAAACAAACTACAAGAAGATGATTAGAAAAAAAGCGGCGAATTCAACTTTCGAAAAATCTGCAAGAAACCTGCTCAATAAATACCGCATACAGTAAACAAAAGAGGCTTACAACCCAACAACTGAAAATAGAAATTATCGCGAATTGGAAGGAATGCACTTATTCAATGTCACAGTACCAGCTTTCTACAGCAATCACCTTTTCTTCTTCTGTTGTTTGCCACCCTTGCCGGAAGTTCCACCATGAGACTGGCTACTTCCAGTTTGCCTCGTCTTCAACTTCGGAATCATCTCACAGGCATACAACATTAGTGACTTACGCGTTGGAAATTTCTCGTTACAAAGACTGCCGTCATCATTATGCAGCTGTATCCGCACACGACCTTGCGAGTTAGTATCTCGAGAAGCATCTAATGGATGCATCTTTTGTTTCTCTATTTTGACCTTCAAACCGGCATTTTGTAAGATGTCAAAAATTTCCTGAGAAGTTGGAGAATCAACAGCCTTATCTTTCGGAATTCGCCTCCCTTGAACAAGAGTTTTTCGGGAGTTCAAATACAGCGGATAAATGCAGACCCACTTGCTTTCGTCACTTGGTGGCTTCTGCCGGTAAGGATTTGCTAGCATTACAGTGCTTGCACCCTGCAAAACCCAACAGGTTTTAACTTATACGGCATCAGCAACATCAAATTTGCGTGTTGTCATTAAGGAAAAATATGCAACTGAAATATTCCTCATTTTGAATAAAAAAAAAATTTTAACTGAATCCCAAAAACCTTTCACAATCGACAATTTAACCGCTGAACAATGAGTGGTTTTTTGCAGCTATTTCCTCTAAAAACAAACGAATAAACTGCAAACAGCCAAAAACAGCAGACAGAAGTCTGTCAAATAACTATAGTTTTAAAGAAGTAACGTTAAAGGGTGGATCAGACATTTAAAAAATAATTCTCACCATAGAAGAAAGAAAGCAAAACTGCTAGAGTTTTAACCAAACCCATTATTATTTCTTAAGAGTCGCTACATCAACTAAAAACAGTTTTATTTCGATTAGTAATTCACGATACCCAGTAATAAGAAATGTAAAAATCTTAAAGCTACGAAGGTAAAATTGAAGGTCACTTAGTAGCACAACACTAGTAGTTCACAAATCACAATCCTGAATTGCAGCGAAACTACTACCATTATGCAATTGAGCAGAAAAATTATGACACATAGAGAACATATAACAAAACTCATACATAAGCTGAAGTTCAACTTATAATAAAACTGGTAAGTAAAATTACACAACAAATACAAAAGTACTAGAAAAATAAACTTCCCAACAAAATAACTTCACCTCTAGTCAATTGGGGCTTGCAAAAACGCAAAGCAGTTAGTAGCACATATAAGGCTTATAAAGCTTCCCTTGTAACAAATATTTCACAGAAAAATATTTATAACTATACTGAGGAAAATAAGCTCCTGTTTTAGAGTGAATAACACCTGCGCAGCAGATCCTAGAAAAGAATTTTCTAGCGAACAGAAGATGTAAAACAAAGTTCTTTAGGAGGAGGTAGTAACGGAATATACTGAAATTCAGCTGCTTCGTACTGGTTAACATCTAGATCAGAAAGATCTTTAACGGAAGTATAGCACAAGGCACTAATATCCTCTTCAGCAGCGCTATGAACACTGTTCAAACCTTTCGATCCAGTAACTTCCCAGCTGCTATTTGGCTTTTTGCTAAAAAGATTCTTTAACACCAAAGAATAAAAAGTATAGTAAAATAAAAGAGAAATTATAAAAAAATACAACTGCTTCAACAGTCGCGTGAAACACATTCTGTGGTAAAAGACATACACAAGTGAATCTTCTGCGAATGCGCCTTTGACTGTTTTATCTCCTTGCTCAGTACTCTGATGATTACCAGCGTTTTCAACATGAATCGAAGGAGCAACCCACTTGAACCTACTAAAAGCAAAACAACGGTTGAATAAATTTAGGTAAAACACTTCAGTAAACACATAACAAAAAATGACGTATGAAATCAAAATTTAAGCACCTTTTGTCTGCAAAATTGTTCCTTTGACCATTAGGTTTTCTTTCTTGATTTCGATAAGAATAAACCGATTTATCACCTACTTCATAATAGCGTGAAGGCTAAAAAATGGCCCTAAGAAACAGCGTAGCCATATGAAATCAAAAGCTGAACAGGAAATAGAAATCAGAAGAATCTTTCTTCCCCGCAAAAATCATCCAAAAGTTCACAAGACCACAAATATCATGATTTATGAGAAATAAAAAAAAGCAAAGAAAAGAAGTCTTAAACAACAAAATACAAGTACAATTTCTATGATCCCCTGCATAACTTCAGTTGACACGGGAAATAAAACTAAAGTTGAAAATTTCAAGCAGCAAATCCACAAATAAAGTATTTTTTTTCTTGCCTAAGCGCAAAAAAATAAGTTAACTAAAAAACAGTAAACTTCTAAACTTCTAGCCAGATTTCTGTTCGAAACCACTCTTATTTAAGATATACTTTTAAAGAAAACCTGAGCAGCCATGGTGTATGTTGTAACTGGAATTCCATAAGACTGATCACAGTACTTAGAGTGCTGGGTATGAAAATCACCGTCACCCTTATCCACGTAATATGTCTAAAACAAAAGAGCATCATCTAGTGATTAGCTCAAAAAGTACCAAAAGTTTATGCTTCATGACTATGCTTCAGAAAGCTTTCAGCCTGTATGTAGAAAATGCGATAGTTCCAGAGAGGTGAGTCACACCGTAGTCTATATGCACACTAAGGTTTCTGTAAGGCAGAACTGTTTTTAAAAAGAAAAAACTTGTATGGAAAAGAAAGAGGAATAAAAAGTGAATACTTCCTGTCCTAAATGCAAACCTTCAGTTCCCTCCGAATCATAAGAAAATTCATGCGTAGAACCCACTAAAATTTTGAATTTTTCATTCCTTCGCATCAGTAAACAAATTATTATCATCCCACTGCCTTATTTCTTTATCTCCTAACTAGAAGCAGTTTCAGTATACTAGTCCTCTGTTACCAAAGTAACAATTCGAAAGGTAAAATGTCATCCTTGTTCTAAAAATCCAGTGGCGCTTAACAACACAGATAAAATAGCTGCTCGCGCAATTTACTCTAGCCAACAAGAAAAAAAATGTAAAATAGGTTCTCAGAGCCTCATTCAGGCAATATTAGCACCATCATTTCTTATAACCATTAACTGATTAAATGTGTCCTCGTAGAGTTCCCTGTACTAATAGGAACAAATAATACTCTTTCTACGATATGGGAATTTTGACTTCCAAAAAACAGTAACTGTGAAAAACTTAGGTCTAAAAAGATGACGCGTAATGCGTAAATCAAAAATCACATTTTGTCAAAAATTTCATACTTTATACTTTCCTTCCGGAATGAAACATTCTGAAACATCGTGGGAGAAAGGACAGTTTGCACCGTTACGGCAGTTTCCACGAGGGAAAAATTTGCATGGAAGTTTCTTCATCCCAATCCTAATTTGTGCAAAATCAGGGCAGTTCCTGAATAAAAATGACAAAAGTCCGCAGAATGCTGAAATTCAGACGAGTAGTTTCTGAAATTTGTTCTGCATCCAACAAAAATCAAAAAATAACGAAGAAGGTTCGTATTTAGCGCCAGTTAATTTGCGTTCAAAAATATGCTTATCAAAAAACTTCAATAAATCGCAGAACAACTTAAATAACTGTACTACACCTATCGATAGATTAATCCTTTCCGAAAGACAA